ATAAACATATGGACATTCTGGTTTGGAATACATGTATGATAGCACCATTTAATTCAGTCATTTATCTTTCTATCCTAAAGGTAGTCAGAGTAGTATTAAACTCTCAAACATGTTTTCAAAAATGAATCCAGATAAACAAATATACATTGCCCAGCAAAGTATTTCTTTAAGTTTTTGCCCCCAAGCAAATACAGTCCTCATGTTTCTGAATAGCTGGGTCCAACTTTCGCAGCTCAGCTTGTCGAAACTTCCTGTCCAGTACAAGGTTACAAGGGATAGAGCAGACTGCAGCAGCTGTCCATAATGAGGCAGCCTGAGGCGGGGGGGGGGGGGCAGCAGGTGTGCCTGCTGCCCACTTTCTGGCCAGAGCATCCCAGGTTGCTAAGAGCATGTTCGGCTGACCAAAGTGCAGCCGAAGGCTCAGCCGATGTACGGCTGATTTCAGCTGATGTACGGCTGAAATCAGCCGTACTGAGCTGGAGTGAATAGCCGAACCTCGGCTCGGTTATTCACTCGGCTGCATTCAGCAGCTTTGTGAATAACCCTGTTAGAAAGAAAAAAAAAATCCATTTGCCCCTAAATACTTCCTTCCTGTGCTCCTCAGCTTCATCTAGTGGCCATCATGAGGTATTTTCCAAATATTACATTACATGGAAAGAAAATATACTAATGACATTCGTTTTTGCCTTCAGTTGTACAGAACAAGTGCACTTGCAGAATGAATGGCTCTGCGCATTTTTTATAAATACGCCCTTTTGTTTAGCCGGTAAAACATTATTAAACTATACCCTACATTCAAAATTATATGAGTCTAACAGTCTAAAATACAGTTCCCACAGAGATAGCAGGAAGTGTGTGACTCACCCCATTGCCCTAGCAGCGTTGGTATATTGTTACATTCATTTGAAACTGGATTGTATTTCTTGGTAATGCTTTTTAAATCTGATAACCCAAGGTCCAGTTTAAAGCAGAGTTTGTAATATGTGTAATGTATAAAGCAGATAAAATCTACAAGTTGTTATTGCTTTAGACATTTATTAACTGAATCTTTATAGAGCATTTTATCTTAATACCAGGGGCAAGTTACAGAAGACCTTGTTGGTGCCTGGGGACCACCATTCTGCAGATCAATAGTTGATATCTCGGCACAGATTGATGATGTTGATGATGGGGACAGTTGTCTTGCTGTCAGCTTCTGCTTACAAGCAAATAGAAAGATTTGTTGAGCAAATTAGCTGCATTGTAGAGCAAATACACCACATCCTTAAATATTGAACTTGTTTATCATGTTATGTAACAGCTGCCACCACCTCTCTCCCCAGAAACATTGTTATTAAGTCAGTCACACATGAGACAAGTAGAGGAAAGACAAGCAATTATTAGAGTGACATTGGGATGATCAGGACTCTCACTTTGAAATGTTTGTCTAATAAAACTTTATTTTAATTGTATCGCTAACAGTAATATTTGCTCATGCTGTCCCCCACAAGTCCTGGCATACTGGAGCCACTTATATTTGTAAACATGACTTATATTTTAATACCAAAGCAGAATTGAGCAAGTATAGTATGTCCATAGAGTACCTCCTTAACCATATTGCTTTTAATTGATTGTATTATATGTTAATATGTGTTATTAGTCTTACAGTATATTTAAAGGCAAAACTTCTGTTTTTTGCTTTGTATGGGATGTGGAAGAGTAAGGACCCCTGTTAAGTTTTTAATGTTTTCTCTGTCAAGGTAAGGAAGATTCACCCTCTTTGCTAACTGCTGTCAGCAGGACTGAACGTGAGGAAAAATACAAAATGTTGGGCAAGAACAGAGTAGAACTCTTCCAATATGGATACCTATTCCAGGGATACCTAATAAGGAGCTCACCTTACTTTGGAGAGATTTATTTCCACTTCCTGTTGAGTTTACTGGAAATTATGTGAAGGAATATCTCTGGAATAGGGCACAAATGACAAAATAAAAAACATGGCTTTAGATATACTCTACCCTATATTTCCATATCCCTCTCTAAGACATTACAGACATTACAGTTCAGCTGGAAATGTGAGCACGATCTGATTGTTGAAGTACTTTTATCCCCTTCGTGACTGACGACGTACAGTGTACGTCGCCAGCATCGGGGCTGTTTAAACTATTCGGGTGAAAGGCAAGAGCACGAAGAAGGGGTTTATTTATTAAAGGCAAATCAGCTGTTCACTTTGCCATGGAACTTTTCATTAGTTTAGTTACTGTGGTGAAAATTCTCTTTGAAAATAATATCCAATCATGGGCAAGGAAAATTAAAAAAAAAAGTATTTTTGCTCACACATGATTGGATGATGGAAGTCAACAGAGCTTCACCTCATTCACTAGGCTAAGGGGAAACTTCCCCGAAAGTGCAAATTCCCTTGCAATGTGAACAGTCTATTTGCTGTTAGTAATTGAACCCCACAGCCTCCATCACTGTTCCTCAGGGATAAGTGGCTGGCTCAAAATCCAGTACAGCTGACTTTTTCTCCCAAGATCAGTTAGATGGAGATTGCTTTGGCAGTGGGCTTGTGACCATAGACATTGGTATCTTGAGTTAATACAGCTAAAATATATTGTGATCATCTAGAAATACCTATAAACCAGTTGCACATAAACCATTATTTAAATGTAAAAGTGAAAGGACCTATTTGAGCATTACATACTAGAATTCTGTTACATATGGGTTAACTTCTGAGTGACATTAAACACTGCAAGTTGCATCACTGCATGTGAGTCACCACGTCAAGGAGAAAAGTTGTGGCAGTCTGGACAGACAAGGCCAGATTTACCAATGTTTTCAGTTTTCATGTGCAGTGCCAGCAGTTTTATGATCGCATAGGGCCTGTCTTAACATGCTGTGTGGCTTCTGTTACAGGCATCAGTTTGACATCAGTTTGAGATGCTTCTGAGATCATTTCAGGAATCATTTACAAGCGCATTTGACCTGCAGTTGACCAGCATTGTGCCTGTTTCAATGGGGTTTTTGCATTCCTATAGACCTGTTTGGGAATACAAAACCCATCTGTCGCAAATGACAGCCCATTGGGTAGTGTAGCAAGATATTTTTTTGCTACAAGCTCAAGATTGTTATTCTTGTTACCATAGAAAAGAAGGCATCTCTTTCACTCTGTGTGCACTTGAACTCACCATCATTTCTTGAATGTTCTACATCAAAATGTTCTACATCATTAGTGCTCAACTTGCTAGATAGCCTGCACTCAGGTGTGGCTGTTGGCACCACCAAATGACCACAGAATAATTCAGCAGTGCAAAGCAACAGGTTAATTTTAATCTGTGGACAAAAACAAATAAATATGTATTTGTGTATTGAATTTCCAGAGGTTCTAACTTCTATCCTACTCCTAATAACCATTTTGGTCTATAAGTTTCTAAACTTACATATTGAATATCTGTAAAAAAAATAAGTCAAGGCAACTGAACTTGCTGTATTTTTCTTGGAGACATTTCACTGGACATCCAACCAGCTTTCTCAATTCAGAACCTTCACAGACATATCACATATTGAAGATGCCCACAAGATGTAATTCCTCAATGTACTGACACTATTTCACTCAGCCCTGTGAATATGTACTTCCTTGTGTTGCAACTCGAACATAGCCTGCCTCCTGAACTTCTGTAATATGCTGGTGGTGGTGGTGGTGGTGGTGGTAAAGATAAAGAGGAAACCGGAGTACCCAGAGGAAACTCATGCAAGCACAGGGAGAACATGCAAACTACTGTACAAGCTTTTTCCAAGTCTGTGATTTAGAAACTATTGCATTTATTGAGATCCAAACAACTAGCATTTTCAGAAGAGGGTCAGTAATGGCAATCTACATACTTTTCTTTGTACAGCTTTATTTTAAGCCTTTCTTTCTGATGTAGTCTGGTAAAGTTATGTTCTATATTTACAATATAGCCATGAGCTATATATGTATTGCAGGGTGGATCAAATATTTAAAACCTTTTTTGGGGAGTGTTAAAATCTTGATCAGGTATTAATTGCTATAGATTCAAAATTTGTATATCTGTGTAATAATGGGTATTTGTGGAAGCCCCTATGTTCTATATACAGGTGAAACTCAAATAATTAGAATATCATGCAAAAGTAATTGCAGTAAGTGCTGCAAAAGGGGCCCAAACCAAGTACTGAGTACATATGCATGCTTGTACTTTTCAGAGGTCCGATATTGTTCTATGTACAATCCTTGTTTTATTGATTGCATGTAATAATCTACTTTTTTGAGGTTGTGGATTTGGGGTTCTTGGGGTTTTCATGAGCTGTAAGCCATAATCATCACAATTATGACAAATCACGGCTTGAATTATCTTGCTTTGCATGTAATGAGTCTATCTCATATATTAGTTTCACCTTTTAAGTTGCATTAGTGAAATAAATGAACTTTGCACGATATTCTAATTATTCGAGTTTCACCTGTAAGTTCTCATAAAAAGCAATGATTGTTGTTTGCAACCCCAATTGGGAGATTTTGCCTCATTTCCTGCCCCTGAGACACGATGAAGGGAGAATTTCCACAAAATGGAGAGACAGCTGTCACTGTAATAGAAGTGAATCTCCTCAACAGGGACATGGTGATAAAAATATGACAATTTAACTCTTTCCTTTCTACCCAAAACAAAACCCCCCCTCAAAAAATTACACTTTAATTCTGGCTTTTAAGTGCTTGTGTAGACAGTTGTTCATGTCAAACGCAGCCTTTTACCTTTCAATGCAGTCTCTGCTTTGCCTGGAATCCATGCACACCTCGGACGTGCTGTGTCCAGGACATGCTGCATCTAAAGAGACACGATGCAAAGCAGGTCATATGCAGCCTTTGAACTGTCACCTACACTGCTCCATTTAAGTTTTTGCCTCTGTACAGAAGCTCATAGTTGTTCAATGGGCATTGACTTAAAGCTTGAAATAGAGAAACCCACTTGTAGCTATGTTGTGTTCATTAATATTCTTGTCTTTTGTAGGACAGACGATTCAGTGATGAAATAGACAAGCTTACTGGATATAAGACAAAATCTTTGCTGTGTATGCCGATAAGCAGCAGTGATGGGGAGATCATTGGCGTTGCCCAGGCAATTAACAAGACTCCAGGAGGTCCATTCACCGAGGATGATGAAAAAGTAGGATACATTTAAGCAGTGTTTTTCTTTTCAAAGATATCTTGGCAGTTCTGTCTATAATCTATAAAAACTGAGTATTGCGCATGTACTTGTTTATAGAAATATTTTATGAATTGACATATTGTGTGTTATGATACTTTATTTTATCCACATATCTACATTCAATGTGAGGAACTATTCAATAATATAGAGATCTAAAAAAATCTGATATAGGCACAGACATAAGACACTGCTTACAAGACTTGTATGGGGGCTTGTGCAACTCAGTCCCCTTTTTTCATTGTGACAGCCCTGGTGGTTGGTGCTTGTAGATTGACACCTAACACTGTTACAAAAAGGGTAAGGAGAGCCTTTAGCCCCGAACATAATGCCTGCCAAAATCAGCGGTCCCCCCCTACCCAAGATCCCTGCCGCACACATCATCTGGACACATGCTCTCACTGACACTGAGCCCCCCTTAGCCCCCACGGCAGTGACAAACCCACACACCCCCATCTGCTTTCACACATTTTTGAGTACCCACCACTCCCACCAACCGAGGACTCCCATCCACCCCTCGCTTATGATAATGCGCCAACATCCACTCTTTGGTAAGTTGCAAATTCCTTTCCATGGTTTTACCTAGTCAGTATATGGTAGTAGCGCTTCTGTACCCCTTTTTCTGTTCTTATTGATTTGTTACCTGAGCCTCATGTCAGAGCATACATACATTAATCCCATTTTTTAACCGAGCCATGTTAGTGAAGACCTGCCACTGTATTTCTTTCTAGGTGCATAATAATAAAAAAAAAAAAATTAAAAGAGCTTCTGTAATCCTCAAAAGCCATATATTGTCCAACACACCCTTAAAAATCACGATTAAACACCTTAATTTCGCCTTCCCAATTAACTCCTATTAATTTAGCCATACTGGCAGATGTCTTATTGTCACATTTAATTTTGATAATCCTTAGTGATTATGAATCATGTTTCACCATAGAATTAAACATACGAGCCAACAGTCACTGCAGTACTGCATTGGCAGTGAGGTTATGGTGACGGGATAGAGCAGAATTCTTGGAACAGTTTTTTCCTACAGGATGCCCTAGCTGCTATATAATTCCTGGCTGACTGAATCTGCTTCTGTCCTCCCAAATACTTTTTTCTCATTATTTTTGTGCAACAAGTTCATATGTTTTTGAATTGCAGATAGGCGTATTAAACTAGTAACAGTTAATTATTGCAGTGCTCTACTGTCATATCAGTGGAAGGTAAATTGGGTTTGGTTGCTGTTAGTCGTATGAAATAAGACCAGTTGTATTCATTGGGAAGAACTTACAACACTTAAATATCATTTCTTGTATTTTGGCTCACTGGGTCCATTCACAATGTGTTGTTCAAAGATTAGAAAACAATTCATTAGTCAGGGTACGGTTATTTTTCCCTGTTGTATTATTTTGACGATTTACAGAGATCTGCAGTCTATTTTCTTTTGATCTCCATGGTCTGTCCTAATATGCCTCAATAAATAAAGTCTTGGCATGTGTAGCATTACTCATTCGCGTGGAACTTTTTGTTTTAAAAAAATAGAAGCTGAGGGGCCATTACCAAAAGACATTCACAGATATTGATTCACATGAAAATCTGCACTGTCTGAGGCATCATGCTCTGGGGAATTGGCTTGTATTGGGTAGTTTCATGTTGGAAAATATATCCAGTGTTGTGAGGAAAAGACATGTGTGACTGAGCGAAATAGGTAGATGCTCCTCCGAGGCATTCCCTATGTAACTTATTAGTCTGTTGTCAAGCTGTGTAGACCATGTCATAATTTTATATATTGCGGCATATGGTATTGATCTTGGAATGGCCAGATGTCCTGTATGCTTTAATGACCAGTTTGCCTGTACATTTTCCAGGCGTATCAACTACAAACAGATAAAAACACAAATATATATATAAAATGCCACAAGGTGCTGATGTAATATTAATGATGCATGTGATACATGTACAAACTGACAAAGGTGTCGCTGTGATGAAGCAAGAGGGGACCACGGTGCCATGGCACAATGGTGTGCCGCTGGCCTCCTCAGGGTGCCTCAAAAGTGTGTGGTAGTGGGACTGTGATGTGAAGGGAGGAATAAAGACTTATGTGAAGGGGCTCCTGTTGTAAAGCATCTTTCAGATTACCCTTTCATTAGGGTTTTATTCGTTGATGGAGGAAAACAGCTCTACAGGATTCATTCCTCTCAATTCAAAATTAATTGAGAAAGCTAGGCGGATGCCTAGCGAAACATCAAGAAAAATACAGCAAGTTAAGTTGCCTTGATTTTTTTTTTTACAGATATGAGATTTTAGGATCTGGATCTACTTAATCTACATAGTTTGCCACTTCTTGTTAATGATGGGGGCCAACATGCCCTCTTCTACCTCCCACACCTTCCTACCAGCTAGTGAGGCTACCCATCATAGAGCCACTAGAGAGGTGTGAGTGGCAGGAAGAAGCTGGCCGACCGTCTGCACTGCCTGGAATATATCAAAGTTTGCCGTTAGAGTTTTTAGAGTGCTCTTGGTTATGGGAGCCCCTTAAAGATAAGGAATGTACTTTGTGCCTGTTCTTACTTTTCCATTTGTTTTCTATTAATTTCTTCATTAGAGTTTTACTTTAATGTACTTCATATTCATATGAAAGAGTGCAAGCATAATACTTTCCATTAAATGATATTGATTATAGCCTTATACAAAGTGCTCAGAACTGAACGACCAGCACAATAAAAATGTACTTGTAGACATCAGATGATTGTTGCCTGGTACAGCTGATTCTGCCAATGGCCATTTTTGTCCTCATGAGAAGCCATCAACATGGATGTCTTCCCTTCTACCTATGGTCATAAAAATCACCAAGTTTTCCACCTCACAGGTTCAATACGTGCACTAAAACTATAAAGCAGCAGTTTTCTGCCTTGTATACTGGACATAGTTCTCCTTTAAATTGCTCACTTAGACAAAATACAAATCCTGCAGTCAGTTTTTCTGCAGCCTCCTCTTTATAAATACATGTAATAAGTGTGTGTGTGTGTATGTATGTATGTATGTATGTGTATATATGTATATGTATATATGTATATATATATATATTTTAATAAATGATTTATTAACATATGCAGACATCTTACTGCACTAAAACAACATCACCACAATAATAGTATAATAGTTCAAACCTGTATTCTATGTATTTATTTAAAACAATAAAATATAGTGGGCTATTCACTAAAGAGCTGAACATTCGGGGTGCAGGAACCCTGCGGTTCAGCCGAACCAAAGGGCTGCTGTACGTGCTGTTCACAATAGCCTGTACAGCAGCCGAAGTAATAGCTGACTGTTCTCCCCGCTTCGTATCGGGGAGAACAGTTCGCCAAAGCAGACCGAATCACCTGCAAGTTTGTAAAAGAGATTAAAAAAAAAAAAACAACAGCGTGCTGTTCCCTCCCAAATCATACTACCAGTCCCTATAGGGCTGGTAGGAATGTTAGGAGGGACCCCTGATGTAAAAAAAAACAAAAACACGTGGGGTTTCCCCGCATATTCATAACAGACCCTTTAGGTAAATTAGGAGAATGTGTTCCCTTAGCATATTGAATGTGGGGAAAGTTCACTTTTCAAAGAATACCCAAACATGTGCAAGGAAAATAACATTGGATGATGGAAGTCAGCAGAGCTCCACCTCATTCACTAAGCTAAGGGGAAATTTCCATGCCAAGTGAGCAGCCTATTTGCCTTTAGTAAATCAATCCAACGTACAAGGGGAGGACTAGTCTTGCACTACTTCATACTAATCCCTTTGAATCTTTTACTTCCTGTATTTTGTCCATTGATGAATTGTAAGGAGCAAATTTCTTTAAGGACAGAGTGTCATTTCCAATCATAATAAATCACAATGTACTTTTGTCACAATATTATTTTATTGGAAGCCTGTATAATCTAACCATCACACTTTAATGCTTTGATGGTTTTCCTCCCCCACATCTTTCTACAGACTGCTGAAAAAATTGCATTACTCATGAATTGAAAATTGTGTGCTTAGCATCTTCCAGTCATCTTCTCTCTCTCTTTGAATAAGTGCAGCGATTACTTCTAGTTTGTGTTTGATTTTATATTTTGTCTCCAAGAAAGGAAACAATGCTTTTTTTTTTTTTTTCAAAGAAAACTGCCACAGCATCGTTTGAAGAAAGACATTTCAATTGTTCTGTGAAGCTTGAGGTTCCATCGTAATTTTGTTGAGTGTATAATCAGCCATGAAGTTTATGTAACAAGCGAAAAGTTTTATGCTGTTTTTTCAGTGTAACAGCTTGTATGGTCTGGAATGTTTTCCTGAAGGGTAAATGTTCTGATTAAAATGTTAAAGAAGAACTCTGGGTAAAAAGTGTATTAACCCTTGCAGTGGGGCTACCCCAGCGTTACAAGGGTTAAGTGCTCGCTTTTGCCTAGGGTCAAAAATAACAAAGTTATACTCACCCGATCCCCCGAGCTGACTGCCTGTGGCAATGCTCCTTCCTGTCCTCCTTCTCCTTTACTGCTTTGTCAGAATGTGCCTTGGCGTCCTCACATCAGCACTGTGTATAGAAGGTGATGACTCAGGGACTTTAGACTGCTGCAGCTGAGGGGGAGAGAAGCTCCAGGGACCTCCAGTAAGCAAGCTGGCTCGCAGGATCAGGTGAGTATTTTTATTTTTGACCCTATCCAAAAAGAGCATAGGCTACCCCTGCACCTCAAGGGTTAATAACATTTCTACCCAGAGTTCTTTAAAGCTCAACCTAGCCCAGTTTAAATCACCTTAATATATTCCAGATGCAACAAAACAAAAGGTGCTCAAACTGTTTTTTTTTTTTAAATTTAGAAAACAGTGATTAGATATGTCTGTCTAATGCCAGCATGCTGCATAGAAGGACCCTTATTCTCTGTGGGGAAGCAGTCTTTTTATACAGGTCCACCATGCCCCTTGCTTAGTCAGACCTATGCCTCTGCAATCAGTAAATCTC